TCTGTTGCTGGAGTGTTGCAAACTGACAAACACCTGACCGATTCTCAAACCTCGGAATCCCTGTGAACCCCAACAAACGACCTTATCCACACGGGTTCAGATCGTGTTGTTTCATTCCCCTTCAAACTAGCACAATGTCTCATGAACGCTATGTCTAGCGTTGCTTACCAGCGCACGCTCGACGGGGGGAGTACTGTAGTGGTTGTAAACCATATTTCATCTTTGTTTTTATCATTTCCTTTACCGACCCTTTTGTTCCACCAGTTTAAATTCACCAACTTTCAACACAACTACTTCAACGCGATTGCATCGTGTTGGTTCCGTTTGCTACTGCCTGTGCTTGTGTTGCCGCTGTGTCTGTCCAGTAGTCGGATTTATGTCTTGGAATCGCTAGTCGACATCTAACAGACGTTAAGTGAAGGAAGGATTATAACACCAGTGTGCTTGGTCGTTCCTCTACTGTGAGTTTCTTTACCTAGGATTGCCTTTTGCCTAAGGACTTGGACTATTTCAGGTAACGGTCCTCTACAGGCGCTTTGTGAATACTCACTATACTCGTTTCAGTGTAATGCGATCGCACTTTTTGAGCCGCCATATACTACTGAGCAATATTCCAACGTGGATCGAACAAGTAATTTGTAAGAATGACGTATTGATTAATGTAGGAAAACGTCCTGTATAGCAATCCAATTTCTGGTCTGGTTCTCGCAGTGGTATATCCTATTTGTGAGTATGAGTATCACAATCCCAAGTCTCTAACCGTAGAGCATAGATTATGTGCCTTGACATCAAAAGTCAGGCCACTATGAATCGAATCGCATTTGTGTGACTGCCCAACATTTGTCACTAGAAAAAGACATTTTCCATTTTGAACACCGTTTCAAATGCATGGAGGTCGAGTTGGATCAGATTGACAGCAGCACTGGAAGCTTCCGGACAGAAAATGTATACAATCTTAATGTCATCAACAAATAGGTAAGGTGTACCGAATTTTATCACGTTGAAAATGTCCTTAACATAAATTAAAAACAGTAGCGGCCAAGTACACTTCCCTGTATCACACCATCGGTGACAAAGAACCGAACAACCACGAAAAGCTCCAGTGTGACCTTAGCGAGATTTCAAACTGGTCAGTTCTGAATACACTACCGTTCAAGGTGGAAAAATGACACGCTGTTCAATTGCGCCATTGGCATGACTACGTGTATAAGCTTGGATCACAGGTATTGCAAACAACTTCCCAAGAACGTGACCTTTGTGTGCTCAGTCAAAGTGACCTTAACTGTTCAAAGCAGCGAGAGGCAGCTGTGAAGAGAGCCAACCAGTAGTGGGCTTGCAGCGGAAAGCATTCGGCAGATTCGACCTATCCATCTTGTCCATGGTGAGCAATTCTCGTTAAGTACGCCAGGCAAGCTTGGCAACCCTGGTTGAAGCGAAACGTAGAAGTGCTAGGGAAATCACAACGCAGGGTCATAAAGAACGTCAAAGGCCTACGAAATCTGTCCTACCATAAAAGGCTGAAGTCACTGCGAGTTTTCCGTGGCTGCTATCGTAGGCTGCGCGGCGATCTCATATTAGTCTACCAAATATTGAGTGACCCTAATCACGTATGCCGTCAGTTGCTGAAATTCAGCCATAACACCAATCTCAGAGGCAACCCTCTTAAATGGTGTGCACAGTATAGCCACCTGGAATGCCGAAAGAATTATTTTCCTCTTCGGGTTTGTCAACCCTGGAACTCTCGCCCAAACTTACTTGTTACCTCCCCGACCTTGGATATTTTCAAAATAACGATTGGATCTTGCCTTTGGCCCCCATCAGTTCGTTGCCTAAACTGTGCTACTTTGGAAGATATGAATTATCCCTACAAACCGGATAACCATGTTACATAGACCTGAAGAAAAAGTACAGAAGTGAGGAATCTCGTTTGTACTTTTCGCACGGAGTACAACAATTATAACTGTCCCCATTTTACCTCGTCGTTCGCATTCAGTTCCCACCTACACTACTATTATTCGGCAGCGTATGTGTTAGGTAAATGATCAAACAGACAACTCACTTATCATTTGACACTTGTTGTTTTACCCTCACCATCCTGCGGGACTTGTTAAGAAAGTGCTTTTTTACCCCGCATAAATCATTGTTCATTGCAGGCTCAGACTTGTATCCTCGATTTAGCACCACCTGCGTTCAATTTGTAAGATATGAACTGAAACAAAAACGCAGAAGTCCACCTATCCCGTATGACATCAATTTAGCTAACAGATTTGCACGGGTCACTCGTCACTTGACTTGAACGTGGTGATGTTTAGGTCGGGGGGAGAACAGGTGAATACATGCATGCTGCAGTCGGATCTTCGGCGAATAAGTTCGGAAGCAAGGACGATTTATCATTTGTGAGCCGTGGCAGACCAGGCGACAAGGAAGCAGCTGAGGCATTAAACACAGATGGCGGCTGGCGTGTTGCTGAGCCATCTAAAGAAATCGCATAGTGTTAAAATACAATTGGCATCCGTATGGCTTGCCACTGATTGGAATGGCTGCGTGACCATCCCCGCTTCACCCAAAAGACTCGGAGGAGAATGCATGAGTAACAGTAGATGCGCCCGTATAGAGTGGATTAGGAGAAAGCGTTATCAAATTGTTTCTGCTAGTAAACATGTTTCGACCATTTGTAAGTAGTAAGGGAATTTATTAGGTTTTTCTGTAGGTTCGTCGCAGTTAGACACAGGCAGACAGCCACCACACATCCATGAAAGCGTTAGAGGGCCGTTTCGTTCTACTGGGACGCGTCAGTAGCGCGCACCCACCGAATCCTGCCGGATTCGAACCCACTATCTTAAACCTGCGAGTCAGCGACTTATGTCATTGAGCCATGGGCGACGGCAGTAGACCACTGTAGATTTGTGGAAAAAATGCAGGGGTGTCCAAGAGATAATTTTCTTGGTATATACTAAGTCTAAGATACTACAGCGTTCAGTATCGGTGCCAACGAGGTGACCTATAAGTGGACTACCACATTCCAAGGAATTACAACCACGTCTGTTATAAAATACTGCAATTTTGTGAAACACGAGTCTGAGACAGCAGTTAAAGATGGCCGTGAAATACAGCCGGCTAAAATATTGCGAAAATTATAATTCTCTTCGTGCTGCCAGACATGGAAAACTCTTCCTAATTAACTTGTTTCCGCTGCCACATTATCTGCGTTTAAAACCACCTTGATGACGCGTTGACCTACTTACATTAAGTAATATAGCTCGTACACTTGGGGAGAATATATAACGTGACAAACTGGGAACAAACTAGCATTTCTTGCAAAATCAAAGCAGACTTTTGGTGCACAACTCAACGCCAGCAGAATGGTGAGTCTATTCAAAACGCTTTTCATGTTGTCGCTAGGTTTTCTTTTCTCCACTTTGAAGTTCCCACTCTTGCCACCCCACGGGATGCGATAAGCACAAGCTTTCTGACTAGCAACACCCCGTTGTACCCTCGTAAAGGTTAAAGTGAACCGAGTTCCACACACCCGCTATCACAGTGTAGTTTGCACTGCACGAAGACATTGCTTGAGCCACATTCGCAGCGGCTAACTCTCGGACATTCGAGTAAGTGCTACGCTATCTCTGCTTAGAAGTATTGATATCTAAATTGCGTGATGAGATGTATGATGCCCAGAGAAAATAATTTGTTTTCGCAAACGAAATGGTTGGACACTTCCAAAACCCTCTATCTGACTCGATGCTTACTCGCCAATAGCGTGGCGCTGCATAGGTGCACAAAAAAACTGTCGCATCAAGAAGAAAAACGCCGGTTACGAAAGCTTCAGGAGCCTAGTCCATCAATGTCAAGCTCACGAGATTGTGTCTCGGGCAAGCAGGTCTGGTGAATCATCAACTTGACCACGAGGGGCTAGAATCGAGGAGGTGATGAGCAAACAGGCTGAAGGTAACTAGGTCGCTTCTGATTCAATTTACTAACCCAGGCCACTAACGCGGTCGATGCAGCAGGTGTGTCACATTATGGTTGCAGTTGGTTAGTACCTGTGGTTGTGTGAGTATATTCGCGCATTGTGGACGTTTGTTTATTAATTTCCCTGGTGCATCTGTGCTTGATGTGAATGTTTGCAAGGCGACTACCTGCCGTGAACCCTGAAGCTTGAATTCTGGCTCAAGGAAACTGTCGATCGTTGCTGACGGAAACGAGGTGCACCGTCTCCGTGACGGTGCCAGGCTCATCGAGTGGTTCCATCCAGTGTGGGGCGGGCTACGGCTCAGGCCTTGCCCGGTCTGCGTCTGATAAGCATGTTGCTTTCACACAACGTGTACTTCAAATTGACTTTCCAACATGTTGCTTCCAGTTTAATAAATGATGTGCAAGATAATCATGCCAAATCCGTACTACTCATTAATAGTGGTAGTAGTATATACACATGGTCGAACAGTACAACAAAACTTGTCTCCTGCTTCCCCATTATCCCTGCATTAATTTGACGGTACGAGTTGCACCGCAATTCAAATTGTCAGGGACAATGTAAAAACGACACACAGTGTGAATATCCCAGACAAAAACAGAAACACCGCTGTTTATCTGAAAAATATACCCACTGTTGTATACCGAAAGTATGTACATAAAGTTTATCGGGCCGAAGTGTTAGAACTGGTTCAAACGGCAATCGTTTTTCGGGAGAATTGCGGTACGCACACTCCATGGGCGACGAAAATCGGTAGTACAAAAGCTTGCTTAAGGTCGTAATGGAACGAGCTATGGTTCACGTAACCTATGTAGGCTAGAGAAATGTAATCGCATCGTAACTACCGTACAAGGGGAGTTGTAACTCGCTGTTTATAGTGCACAATCTGGTGCACTATACCAATTTGATACTAGTTCGGAGGAGGTGACTAGCAGAGCTGCTGCTGCAATTGATTCCGCGCATGTGACTGATCCACCTATGGTAGAGCTACACAGATTTTTATCTTCGCACTCTCTACTTTCAGTATGCAGTATTGGAACTACATCTCATCAGTGGAAAAAAACAAACCACGTACGTTAACAATCCGAACGATCGGATCAAGTTCACAGGATCGTCCATGGCATTGTTGGGAGGTGTACTAGTTAGTTACCCAACACAAGCGTACAACGGGTGATGAATACTGGTGTCCGATCTTGGGAATCGGTTACAAGGTGAAGGAAACACGGTTTAGACGGTCTAATGGTTATAATTACACCGAAAGGCTTCATCCCAAAGTAGAGCACATTTTGAAAAGTAGTATAAAGATGCGCTGCCATAAAAACGTTGTTTTTTGTATGTACAGAGGGCACACAAGTGGGGAGGCAAGAATGGATCAGCACTGCCGTAGAGTTAGTGCACAACCACGGGGAGATGGGCCTCAGCTGATTGCGCGAAGTCCGCTTCGATCACTAATCGAATGAGAATGATGGCTTGCCAACCGATTGCCGACCAAACCCCACAGATGCGCACTCGCCAGATGGCAAAACACTGACATGTCAAGGTCACAATATTTGGTGTTGCGCAACATGCTACGTTTGGGGACTTGTTTGTCGAACAGCCGTAGATTGCCATTGATCCATGCGATATTGCGAGTGGTGGTGGCGGTGGCTGAGGAGTGAGGCGCCTCGGTCTTGGGATCGGGGAATTCGAGAGTATTCAACTGGAAGAAGACATAATCGAAGTATACACCGTCTGAGCACACGCCCTGCACACAAATCGGAGTGGGAAGCACACCCGAGTGAATGCCAAGGGAACGAGCATGAGCCAGCGTCGAGGCGAAGCAGTGCATCAAGGCGGCGGCTTGGCGTTGTTCTGGCCGAACGGGATCCGCCTCCGGTTCCAGAAAGTCCGACCACACGTTGGGCAGACTGAAATTGATGGTGATCAAGTGTGGATAGGGATAGGGTCGATCCTGTAAAGTAAAACACGGAAGAGATTTTTGCACGGTGAAGCAAATTTCTGGTGACTGTGTTGCAGAACAAAGTGCTTTCTGCAAAAACACTAACACCGAAGCATAGCACGATTTATATCCGGGTAAATTTATTTGCATATTTTCAAGTGCATGCTACAAAATACCTGCATGATGAAGAGTTGATGCAATCGAGATAGCAAATTAACCAATATGCGTACACACAGGCATACAATCGCATCCGTTCACCAGTGCGACGAACGCGTCCTTGTGAACACAGAAACTGGGTTCTAGCTGTTTTATCGTGACCGATTCAGTGTATCGCAGAACACGAGTGTTATTTGACGCGTCGACCACACGGAGTATACGCGTGGGGTTCACATACACTACGTCTGTCAGCAGATAGTGGGCGCCTGATGATGCAGGCGTCTTGTATGGCTGGTCGCTTGCATTTCTTGGCTGCGCACCTGGAGAGCTGAACAAGGCTAGGTTCGAAACGTGAGTTCGGATCACCGTTGCGATATGCTCCGCGATTCTCACCCATATAAGTGGGTTTGCAATTGCATGTAAAGACGTGTGAATAACTGGACAGAGGTAGTGGTGGATTAACCGAAGGTGTGGGAATGCGCGTCGTTGTGTATAGCAGTACGGGTTGCGCCGCGGGGTAGACTCGTGTTACCAGGGATTTCAAGTGCTTTTGAAATATTTGGCCAACATCATCGCCCTCAAACGGTAACTGTAATGTAACTTTAAGCTTTGGCATGGAGGGAAGCTTTTATGTCTCTCTCTTCTTGCTGAAGTAAGCGAGGACATAAGGTGGATAAAGCTTTTCCTCCAAGATTTTAGTGACGAACCGCACCTCTAGGGTACAGATTTTGCTTGCGCTGTCAAACAATGTCTGACCAAATGCTTGTTTGTAGCGCAATGGACAAAACGATGGAAGTTCAGATGCTTCCGCTTCCATGTAGACTCACACCGATACATCGATCTACGTATTGATCCATCATTTCTGCTTTCGATCAGTACGTCAAGGAATGGCATACTATCATACTGCGGAGAAAGGTATTTGGATAAAAATTGTACGGTACTTTCATTTTAACGATTTTGATGACAATGTCATCGGGAAAGAATTGCTTCCATTATCTCAAGGTGCACTCTACTAAAGCCTTAGGCTCCACAATGTTGATCGTACATGCAAATAACCGCGTCATGCCCAAATACGGTGTGATATAAATTGAGCGCTATGTAGATGGTTTGAAAACAGAAATCACCCGCCCCAAAAAAAGAGAAAACGAGCACGGACGGGAAAGAAAACATCAGCACCCGTGGAACAGCATGAGTACAAGTGCGATCTTATTGGGATGAATGCACAACGGAAATAGAAAGAGACGAGTTTAATTATGGGGCCGGTGGCCAAAAGAAACAAGATGACTGCCTTGCAACCTAACCCTGCGTAAGGGACCATGGGACACTCGCAGTATCCTTAGCCCATGCGCAACCGATAGTGGCTGCGTGGTAGCGAAAGGTCAAAACTGCGTACCGCCGTACTGCAAACGTCTCTTTCGGATTTTCAAACACAGAACGATTTTGTAAAGATTTGTATTCCGGCTACACTTTGCTCTTGACGCGAGAGCTTCTTCAGGCTAGTTTATGGAGAAAGGGAGGTCATCGTGACGATTGTGATTTGAGTGGGCTATGGTAAGCAAACTCGATTTGAACCGCGACTAATTTGGAGAGCACACTAGTAAGCCGAGGAAGACAAGTGTGTGCCGCTCGCTCCAAGACGGGTTTCGTCAATAAGTGGACTTATCCAACAGAGACAGCCGAGTTAGGACTCGGTTCCAGTAGTTCGGCAAGTCCTTCAAGATAATGAGCGCTCAGAAGAGATGGATTCTGTGGTTTTGATTTACGTTGCCAGAATATAGACAAAGCACACGGTGACCGAAGGAGAAGGAAACGCGAAGAAGATGGTTGAGAAACAACGAGTTCGGATGCATGATGCAAGAGTCAGAAGAGACAGACGGCTGCGAATGGAAACGATGCGAGCGATTCGCACCTCGAAAGAGTACAGTTACGAGGCCGAGTGGGGAACCACTGAGATTTCCCCATCGGTTTACACATCCGGATAGCCGTATGATACCACTATAAATGTGGTTGCACCCCTTTTCTTGCTGAGGCGAAGGTGGGTCAACTAATGTCTGTGGAGACAGCGAGAAGCAATTGGTCGAGTGCGCGGCCAGTGATTTTGCTGCACAAGATAGAGGCCAGCCCGATGAGGACATTACTAGATTGTTCGTGTTCGAGCGAAGTAGTGCTCACATTTGGTAGAAAAATCGAATACGTAAGTTTGTGACCCGTCCTCTGATGGAGAGTTTTCGTTGGCAGACGCTCTCAAGGTCAAACTTTATGACCGGTTTTGTTCTCGGTTGGACTCATCAGGTAGGGAGCGTTAGCAATACACCGGCATATCGTACTGATGCTTCGCCGTCACGCGACCACCATCGGTCGCACGTGGTTGTCCACACCTAAGCACAATCGAACGGATGACCTAAGGATTATAAGGTAACCCGTAATCTTACCGGCGATTGGCCAGTGGGCAGAAATAGCCTGAGTAGGGAGATTGGAAACTGGGAATTAGGTGTTGACGAGTGATGCCTTAATCACTATGCCAATGAAAACCGCGAACCGCAGTGTTTCGCACCGTGGCAAAGAACACAATGCGATTTTGGAATTCCAGGTAGTGGTGTTTGGCAACATACTGACTGGTGTCTCTGTAAAGTGCGTATTGGACTCGAACGGCTTAGGCGGTTCGGTCTTGTGTTTCGCATGCCCGCAAGTTGACTGTCTCGGGGTGCATTAGTTGCCAATATTTAGCTTAGTTGGATGAAACCTGGAAGTGGAGAATCGATGATATAACTGAAAGACTGTCGCCGGTACCTGTTGCCTACTTGGATGAGCTCTTTGGTACAACTCCCGCCACTGCTTAGATGCGAAGTCAAAAGTAAATGACGCTCTTGAGTTCGCTCGCCAGGTTTCAGCACTCAAACTATTCCATCAGTAGACTATATAAGTTGCGTTCAGTAAGCTTGTGCTAGCGTTAGAAGCGCAAACATTGTCCTAAATTTGGCAAGGTGAAGAGGGAAGAGATTCCCCATTCCATCTCGGTGCGTGGATCACACTAGAGCAACTTCAAGAAAAATTTCCCGGATAGTCAGAAGCGTGTGGCAGAAGCAAGAAATCCAATGAATGGGCGACTGTGCTATGCCTGATAGACTTTGCAACAATCGATGGCGTCGATTCACGAGAAAGACGCGTACGGACCGGGATTAACATTTCGACCCGTTGCCACACACACCAAGTTGCTGGGCTCACGATTGGCCGGGAGTTCATGCAATCGGATATGTAAGCACACACCTGCGCGTAGGTAAAAGTTATGATCTAGTTGGCGCATGTAATGCCAGAAAGATTGCTGCAAGCTCCAAAAATACGCATGGATATTGGGCGTTGTCCTCTCAAAAACACTGCACGACACGATCACTTTCGGATGATTTGGTCACATCAAGTCGTACAGTACAGTGTTGTTCAGTGGGCGACACGCGTTATCTATCTGATGCATCGTCCACGGTCCCAAGGTCCACCACAGTACGAATCGCGGTCCACATCGAGAGTACGTGTTGAAAAACCAGTCGCATAAAGAGCGCTTCAAAATGACGCATAAAATCACCACCGAGCACATTTCAACACTGCGCAGTCAATGTCTCCCCAGATGTGAGAAGTGTGACGAAGAGTTGTTATGCCTTGCTAACAAAACCAGATAATTGGAGACATTGATTATGGACTCTAAACGAGTCAAGTTCCTAAAACGAAAAGGAAAGGCCTTTGCAAAGAGTAACACCGAAGTTCTAACATGGAGAAATGCTTTCTGACGAAATATCTGTGACAGTTTGGGATATTTGAGACAGAAACACAAGGGTGCCTCCCAGTGAACATTAGGACCCCAGGGTGGAAGTCAACATATTAGTTGCAGATGGCGCGGGTAACACAACAACTCTCAACACCACGAAATTTTTATTTCTTACTCGACCACGTCTACATTGCGCTTCCAGGTTCACATGAAGTCAAAGAGGAAGAACATAAACCGAGTTCTCTAGTCGCTGCTTTCCAGACACTTGTAGCATTCCAAGTTTACTAGATCTTGTCTCAATGAAGGCATCTATGTAATCAGCGAACATTGGAGGTAACAGCAACCAGGCTTTTGTTACTCACAATCAGTACTACGCTAAGCGTCCTCGTTTCTCGCCATTTGAGATACTCACATATTCTAGCCAGGTAAGCGACCACGATACGAAGCCAATGAAAAGTTGACAAGCATTTGTGTACTTTTGCAGGAGTAGGAGAAAACCCTCCCAGAAAGCCCAAAAATTTCTATCCTCGAGTGTTATAAGTAACTGCTGTGGACAAGAATCCGACATATAGAATACGGTTGGTAGGTAGAAACACGTATGACAATCTACAAGCTCATATCAATTCCACCTGATGCAATACTCCCAGTCCAATCCCGGCAAGGTAAAAAGAGTATCAGCAGTACGTCGGTACTGAGTTAAGACGCTTCGCTGCCGCGCAACCACCACCACCAGTTGTCGCACGTGGGCTAAGGATACTGCGAAAGTTGCACGGCCCCTTAAACAGGCTCGAACCCGCGCCCTTTGGATTAGAAGGCAGACTTGTGATCCTTTAAGTAATAGGACGGCAAATCCCACCCAGTACGACACGCGAGCGCCAAGTGAATAAGTGATACTTGATGAATGGCCAAATTCTTGTATCCCTTGCACCATATTGAATTTGCTAAGGTTTGTCCACATAGCACAGGAGGAACCGAGTATGCAACGATCTCATTATTTGCATGAACAAGCGCCTGCACGGTCGAAGGATAAGAGATTTATTTATTACTAATGAGTTGGAGGATTTTAGAAGAAATTTTACTGCTTCGTCTCCGTTGCTCACAAGCCAGATAGTCTAATCCACAAGCTGGAAAAGTACCAGACGATCATATCGTCCTAACGGGTTGGACTATCTGGCATGTGAACAGCTGGAAAGAACTCGTAAGACTTATTCTTGTCTAAAAGGTACCAATATATTAACAAGTACATCGGTTCAGGCTACATAAAGAGAAAAACGACTTTGATGACAATGCCTGGCTTCTAGAGACTCTGGAAGCCTAGGCGCTTTTACTGTTTAATTGTGATTCAACCCAAACAAATATGCTCTAGAACATGTGAGCCAAAAGTTCTAACGAAAGCAGATATAAAAATGAGCTGGAACGTGTTGGATGAGTGACTTTCCGGTTTCTGAATGTCTGTAACGCCTAATGGTTATGTCGCCGATCTAGAGAGGTTGAACACTACACCTTGATAGTCTGATGTCACCGCTGATTAACAAAGTTTGTTCCATGTAAATATCCTTAAGACAAAAAACATGAAAAATAGACGAAAATCACGTCGCTCTGGTGTACCACCGGTTGGTCGACCGAAACAGAAAGGCGCAATGAATGTGAGACGAGCATAGTGGGAAAATGATATGCGTGGGAGAAACAACATGGTAAAGCTTACAACACATCTGGAAATGCGTTTCGATAAAAACAGTACAGTTAAGTCATAGTGATAAAAAGATACCTGTATAACGCTGCCTTAACATGATCACAAAGTACTGATGCAGTAGGAGGTAGACGAAGTAAGTATAGTGTAGTTCTGTAAATACAGCGGCAAAACAAGAATGGAAGACGATTCCAAGGGAGTAGAAAAACAGCTGTAGAGCAATACGAAAGAGGGTACACGGCCAGATAGCGAAGTGTAAAGTAATGCGGCTCTTTTAAGCTAACCGATGCGGAAAGCGACAGTCTTGAGCTCGGTATAATCAGAACGGCTAGGCGCTAGCCGTTCTGAAAGACATACTTGTTATAATACGTCTTAGTTGTGTCGACTCCCTTGGTCTGAACGGACGAAACCGATGGTATTTCACCGATGGTACTCCATGCGCAGAGTTGTCAACGGAATTGCGGATGGGTATGGCCTAAGTGGCCTAGCTGTTAGACGTTGCGTACGTGAGCTGAGAGTGGAGACGAAACGCAAAACCTCGCACGGTTTATCGAAAAGAAAAACTGGCCGACAGAAAGAGTTCATTTAATGACTGAACCAAAGGCAAACCATGCCTTCTACAACTTCATATTTATGGTTCAAAAGTATAGCGCCGTAATACATAAACAATGGAGGAAGGTGGATTTTGGCAGGGCGCATGAGTCACCACGTAGTGGTAGTGTACTGACGAAAAGTTAGTTCACTGAGGTTTAGCACGATAGACACAGCAGTGTCTTGAGGGGAACTCAGCTGGTCAACTACGGCTTGTGGAGACAGATACAGGGCTGGGTTGTTAGCTGCATATTTTGAGTCGCCGTATGGTGATGGACTGTTGAGACGAGACAGAAAGAAATATGAACAAGTATCGCGGATCTATGCATGTTCCGCAACAATATGTAAATCAGCCTGGGCTGAATGTTAAACAGTAAAAATTGACCAGAGTAGAATGTAAACCGTTCTAAGGAACAGAGTTAACAGATAGACGATCCAGTAAAGAGGAACTACTCACACCAAGAAATATCGAAGGATAATTGCGCAAGGCTAAACAACGACGCCACATACCGAGCGTAGCCAGCCGTCAGTGCTATCATCACGATAGTAAGTGGTAGCCTTCAGATCAACCAGTGGAGACATCGGTCCCAGGGTCCGCACAGGCAGGGAGTGAGATACGCACAATTCCCGAATTCCCTCACTATCCGGAACAAAACAAGGCAATGGGTTCCGTCCGCTCACCACTACATCATGATGTTCAGCGAATGCAATCCGGCGTGCAGGGTTGCCCCAGAAGTAGTGGGTTTCAAGAAAACGGTCACGCGTCAGCCACCAAGGAGGGAGCTCCGTTGAAGACATCTTTAACGGTGCATCAATAGCTGAGGCGATAGAATCCGTCTGAGGAGAAGAAAAAGTGAAAACTTGTAGATATGAACCGCGTGGGTGTATGAAAGGCGAAATGAGCGAAAAGTATGGGCGCGCACTGATAGCCTTATGGAGTGCAGATGGCGCGCAAATGAAGGAATGAACGGATCAAGATCCACTAGGGGGCTGGGTAGAGAGCAACATCGCAATATCACCCAGTGGCACTTCTCTGGTACACAACCATGATTAAAGGGAAACGACTTGAGCGATAAAAAAGTAGAATTGGAGACAGTAGTTACCTAGGACTTCATGATCAGAACGGTGTTTGTTAGAGATTGGCCTGGAGCCGTATGTGTGAAACCAAGAACGAGAGGGAAGGTTAATCACGTTCGTGAAGAGGTAGTTGACGCATATGCGCTATCATATCTATCTTGGGGTAATTACGCTGAGAAAAGCCAAGATCAAGTAGTGGGGTCTGATGAGTGTTTTCGGACAACATGAGAACATTGAGTATGCCGTTGACATCAAAGAAACAGCGGGCTAAAACTGTATCGTCACAACTACCGTCTTGCATGCTGAGACCTGTAATGGGGATCTGGAAAGTTTTAAAAATAGGTTGAAAAAAGAGAAGAGATAGAATCAGCAGAAGCGTGTTTTTGCTGATTCATCCATACGTACGCTGTGGAAAATGCGATGCGTATTGAGACTTTATTTCGATCTCCACGTCATGGATATAGGCGCGGGAAGCCAGCAGGCTCAAGTTTGTGTACATCACCGGCGTCCAATGCCCATGCGGCAACGTCTATAAAAAAACGATACTGCAGCGTTTGCTTCGTTCAGCGTGCAAGAAGAGACAACAGTTGTGGCACGGAAACACAAACCACGGGTCTCATTTCACATTCGATTGTTTAAAGTCCGCATTCTGGGTCAGAGTGAACAACAGGCGGTAATCCTTACTAGCTTGGTAGTGAAGTGTGCTGTGTCTCCGAAACACGCATACAAGATAACAGTGTTGTGACGAATCGTCAAATCACTGGTTCCGAATCTGCCGGCAATCCAATCCTCTTTGTGTCTCTGGCGATACTGAATCAATGGCTCAAGGTGTTCTTACGGTATTGGTATCACCGAAAGGTATCATGTTGAAGGCAGTCTACTCGATGGAATATCAGTAAACAGCCGCATGTGTGCGATTAGAACTTGAACCTCTTGTGGGGTTACTAAGAACTGTATCAAGACAAGGTACATTTTCGTCATCACTGCCTATGCCCCCACCAACTACAGTTCGGAAACCATGAGAAAGACGATTTTTATCGTGAACTCTCATATCATCTGCGCATGAAAATAAAGAAGAAGAAAACCAGTGCTACTGAACACAGTTTAACGCAGTTCCAGCTCATGCGGAACAAGGGTCCAATAAAATCAACAGTTACTGAGACAACAGCCTAGAAAGGTGAACGGTTAATCCACTATCAGTCACATCGACTAGCCCGTTAGACGGAACATTTTGAAGAGCAATTCAGCAAGCCTGCTATGACGCTGCTATCTGCCAAATCCGCTGAGCCGATGTGGGAAGTAGATGTTACACTTCCAACTTTGGAAGAGATTCGGCATGAGCTTTCCTGGCTGAAACGAAACAAGGCTTTTGGGCACGGAGAACTTACTCCATCTTTGTTGAAAGATGGTGATGGCCCTTTGTTGACTGGACAGGCTACTCTATGTAACACGACTTGGAACACTGAGGAGGTGCCTTCCGACTGGCGACTGTAAATTGTCGTACACATCTTCAAAAAGAGCAAACTTACTTTGTGCGAAGACCGCCGAGAATTTAAAATTCTTTACATTGCCACCGACTTTCCCACGGGTCTCGTACTTCGACGACGACTTATTGGTCTATATAAAAACAGAATCATGGAAAACCAGGCTGGCTTCCACCCTGGTCGTGGTTGCATCCAACACACATTTATTCTTCGTCAAGTGACACACGCAGAGAAGACTGAATATGGCGATACTCCATGATCTAAAAACTGCCTTTGGGTCTGCGGTCTAGCCAGCATGTGGCACTGTTTATCGGTGAAGTGGGTACCAAGAAAACGTTTCTCTTCTCTACGAACCGCGACCCTCGACGCTTGGTACAAGTCTAGGGGGAAACTTTCCCCATTAGTACCCCAGAACAAGTGGGATTCGCTAGGGTTGTCCTATATATATTATCGTCTTCTAATTGGTGATGGAAATGCTCACGAAAGCCTCCGTTCTTCCCGACTCTTCCGAAGTGGAACTTCCACAAGTTGACTGACTGACCAATCATGAGTATGTGGACAACACAGCTTTCCTTAGGTCTAAAGCAGTAGTTATGTAAATACAACAAGATCGACTGAGGAGAAACGCTGCATGTTCGACATGAGCTTCGCATCTCAATTACAATTACCGATGGGTTTAAAATTAATATTCTGGCACAACTTGCATATATATATATATATATATATATATATATATATATAATTGGTGGTCGGAGTGCTCGCTGAGCTCGGCAGTTTTGTTGGAGCCCCGTCCAAGATGACTTGATCAATTTTCCCTATGCCTCTGTGCCAAGTCATGGACTGGCCAATTCGTGTGTTCGCCCAAGTTGTTGCAGCCACGATGTATAATGCATGCCGAGGAAATCGGTCAGCGGGCATAAGGAGGACATGGCCTAGCCAAAGTAACCGATAAAGATTCAGGAAACACTCTAGTGAGAAACCAGAAGGCTTCTTGACAGAAACCAAATGGCGCACCTCAGCATTGCTCACCCGGTGTTCCCACTGAATAAATAAACAAATAAATATTTATTCTCGACAAAGCGAGGCACGCCTTTTGGGCATGATCAGAATAATGCATTATTGTACATAACAGCATAATGAGCAGGTCCAAAAGCAGGAGTAATACAGAGGTAGTCAGTCATATGGTCCCATACGGCCCAAAGAATAGATGAAGTTCAACCTCGACCGTATCGGGGCAGGCTTGGCAGGCATAATCAGAATTGCGTAGGTGAAATGGTTCACAGAGTACGAGATGTAAAGATAAGAATTACAGATCATTGGAGTGGAGTATGTGTTGGTGAAGAATTGGTCCGATGAGGTTGTGTACAAAGTGCGGGTCAGATGAGTGAAGCATGAGGACTAATCTGCATAAACGTTTTAGGAATAGTGGCATGTCACTGTTTAAACATGTACGCGTAGATGTATGAGAGCGGATATATACACAGAACATGTGAAATGTGGTACCGGTCGACTTACCAATGCGTGGCAGGGGGCAGTGACTTTATTTAGTGGCGAGTCACATCCGCCATGTCGCAGTGTTGTTAGATAGACATCTGTGGCTTTTTGTAGGGAGAACGGTTGCCAGGTGAAAACTCATCACATCCTAGAACATTGCCGACACGTGAGCAATACTTGGAAAGCACAGGTGATCAAACACGGCCGTTCGTTTAATGTCTTCACTGCGAACTCGCCATGTCTCTGATCCAGATAAAAACACCTGCCTTATCGCAGCGTTATAGCCCTAACTTTCACTGAGAGGCTGATATCCTGCATATCCTTACATGGTTTCGCCTTTGGTAAGTCACACGAGCCTGGCTGATACGCGGAGTAACCTCCTCAGTGATGTGGCCACTAGAGCTGATACAAATACGAAAGTAAGTGAACTGATCCACCACTTCCAGTGGTTGTTTGTGATAACTAAAACCGGTGATGTTCCGGTACAGTTCTGCACTTTGAAGGTGCAATGCACATGCCGAAGCGAAGCCGGTATAGCAAGAAAAGTAATAAAAATTACTAAGAATAAAGAGGTGAGCAGGGTATGACAAAAAGCACCGCTGACGAAACCACTGATTTCTCTGTGTTGTGTTCGGTTTTCTTTTCATGAAGACTGAACCATCCTTTGCTTGCCATGGTTTTTGATAGCTCTTTGTCTATTTGCAGACTGGTGCATATATATATATATATGCATATATATATATATATATATAGTTGTCAGATGGAGAGGTTAAAATCTCCAAACGACGGAATGATCGCCACTGATATGAAGAAATGCAAAAGAATGAAGGCCAAAGAATGAGGATAATGAATGTATCACAGTGCCCGCTGTGTTTCGACTGTAACACGCCAGCTGAACTCAGATCACGATACCTTTTGAAGTGAACCTCTGATACTGTGACCAGTGTATTCGTGCAAGAGCAAGAGAGAGTAACTTTGAACACCGGATGTATTGGATTCTGCTGGACTTGATTGTAGGCACGTCCGCTGTCAGCATTAAATTACTGATCTCTGTGGGAAAGGATCGACATATGCGTGCTGAACAATGAGTTCCTCGCTCTTGAAACAAGCTTGAATGCATCTTCATTGCCTATCACAACAAATGTCAATAGCTCTGGCCACTTCTATTTGCAATGTTCAAACAAGGCGATGGAAACCAATGCTAAGGATACGAAAAAATTTAGCTTAAAACCCAACAGAAACAGAGGCAAACGCTAACCTGCTGATCCAAAATGCGAAACAAATTCTGAAACAGGAAACGTGTGGCCTGTTGCGGATGGATTCCGAATTCGGCCTTGTGCTTCCAAATCGGCAGCTCGGGTCGGAAACGCCGAGGTAATTTGGTCTCATCCGTATGCCATACATGAGCGTGTAAAATGGCTCGTTCCACGGAGTTCCGCAGATGGGAAACCCAATTCGCATCAGATGGAGGTGAGTCAGTGGATGTGCTGCAAATAGTGCGTTCCACACGAGTCAAAAGATCGGTCATACATGGGGGAGTTCCAGGAAGTATCAAGGTCTGCAGGGAAATGGAAGCATTGGAAGAGGCAGTCAGTCCTTACGTGAAAATCCCAAAGAAATTCGACCTGGTTTGGACTGGTCAACTATGACGCAAGCATCGAAGTATGGTGAATGCAATGCTTCTCGATCCAATTGTCATGATAAATTGTCGCGTAAAGCGTGGAACATTGTATAACCATAACACCGTAAAACAAAACGGAAAAAGTAAAACTACTAGAACCGCAGGTCAACAGCAATGTCTGTTCCAAGCGAGCAGAATGTTTGTTTGAGCTAGAAATTGCGAGAGCGGTGCGACTAAGGGACATATACGGTGTGCCACAACACAGTCGTAGATTCCACTTCAGAACAGCATTTACGACAACAATAAATTACCAGTGATTGTGTCAGTGAGCAGAAAGCTAACTGGACAAGGTAACCTTCCTATATCTTTGTCATTTCGATCACTTTAGTTTGACGTCAATGCGTCTTCCATCGCCGTAGTAAGTTTTACTCTCATAGCAACACAAGTCTCGGCGACTGGATCCACCACGATTGAACTGCTAGACAAAAACTGCATGGTGATAAAGATGAATTTCAGCGAAGAGTGACAGCCTATGAGTTTTGTGTTCCATTGAGTTACGTTTACCAGTATTTTCCTGGTACGTCGGAGTTAGTATAACAGATAATCAAGTTGTTACCGGAGCCCGTCCATAGCTCTTTCTCTCTGTCTGGAGCAGCCAGGAGAAGATTGGTCGTATGCCGCCTGTAGCCGTTTGGCTAACCAATGGAAGTAAGTCAATAACATCGTGTTATCTTGAGGTGGACCAATCAGAATGACCTACCTTGAAGCCCTCCAGTAAGTACACTACTTGCTCAGCCAACAAGCGAGTTTTTGAGCATTTAGTAGTTGCTGAAGTCAGGAACATTCAATTAGGTCTTTTCTCTCATGAACTATTTAGTTCGGTCCAACATTGTTTTTTGAGTGCTCTATACAAGTTCCGCCAAAGGCCTATGTCTTGATTTGGAAAGTGGCTGTACTGTGACCAGAGTGGCTGTATCGGTTATGCGTACTGACAGCGGAAACAAAACAACTGTGCCGACAGATGAGTGAGAGGTTGGTTGTTTTCCTGCCTATGAACTCAAGAAAGATGTCAATACGAGCTCAGATTGGTTGACGTAGAGCATGAATGCCTCGAGGAGCCTGTGATGCCGTCCAGCCACTAAGGAGCACAATGATACTATCCCATCACGAGAACTGTATCACGTTTCGTCGAGATATATGTTAGTATTATAACCACACGTAAAAATAGCTACAATATGGGGCAGTGAAACTGGGGGGGGGGGGGGGAGCTGTCTCGCTGATGCCGCGTTGTTTTCGTATGATTGACAGCTGTGTGTGGCCGTATGTTGTTGACCAGATGGATGCAGACGTCCTGACCCAGAATGAGCGTTCAGGGCTTTTAGGTTCCCTGTTAGATTCCACTTCTTTCGCGTTTGCTCTTCTTCATCTCTCATATTGTTGTGCCTGTACGGTAACGAAGCATCAGTTCAAATTGCCGATGTACAGCTGTTGATGATGATGTTTACCTACAAAAACTAGCCTGTGGTTCATCACAGTCACGATTTCATTGGACGACAGGGTGAACAGTTCTGGAGCGTCTATAGTCGAATGTGACAACACTAATGCGGGTCTACAAAAGATGTTGCAGTCAAACTTTCGAGCTGAAAAAGTTTCCCACTGTGTTGGTCTGTAATCACTCCCCAAACCCAGTCTGCCCACTGTCAAGTGGGGTAGACTGGACGGCAATTTCGAATGAACACTTGCAAAACGTATAGTGACGAGCATGAGAGAAGAGTGCATGGATGGAAAAAAAGAGAAACACAGAGAATGCATGGTTCATTTACAATTGGTCTTACTGCTCTCAACTGGTGAAAAAGCAGGAATCCTCCTGACTGCACATGTGCAACAGATCCATGAGTAGAGTCTTGATCACAAGACAAGGGTAACTCTGTACGTCGAAAGCTACTAAAATGATTGAAACAGTATTGTATGTTACCGAAAATAAGCCCGTCCATAGATAAGCCCACAGTAGTTGCAACATCAAATTTGTCCAAAGTCGTAAGTTTTTGTATTAGCTGACCCATAAAACGCAGCAAAAGAGAAACGAAATCGTTTTTCCACGAATTCGACGCCATCAGTACTTCCTCTCACGTGAGTGAGCTCAGGTGAAACCTGCTCTACTATTGGTCAGCTGTGGTGACTGTATTGTTGTAACCGCGGTTACTGGGGCGTAATGCCGTAATAACAGACTTTCACCGCACCGGATAGTGTATTGACCAGATGTCAAGTCACATGAAACAGGCAAGACAGCCGACAATATATGGTAAGGTGAGAGGGTGTCAGACAGGCCGCTTCGCATAGTCGGGAGCCTCATGCGTAGCAGTGAGCGTGTGAGAGCAAAGTTCACGGTCAGGGGTGTGGGACGACGTTGTACTTTTAAGGCACCGGGTTGCCTGGCATAAAGGGCTATTGATTTGCTATTACCATCCGTCGCGAACGTCCAATGTGCAATATACCCAGAATTTTCGACATAATAGTAATAAGTACGAAATGACCGGGTCATCTCACAGCTTACGTCTTCTGATATTTGTTTAGATTTATAAAGGGAAGTTCTTGTTTATAGTAGCAACGTGCCCAGTTACAGGCATTTGAAATCCCTGTCTGGAATGCCATTCGTTACTAGCAGATGGTGCTAATGGGAGCCAAGAGCAGTGAATTCCTGGGCGGATTTGGTATGTGACTTTTTTCAAATCGCGTATGAATTTTGTATAAGCCCACCTAACTTTACAGAAACAGAAATTGTCCAAAATTGGCTTATATTCCGTAATATACGGTATGGTAAAGCCCGGTTAGGTTAAGTTAGGTTCAATATTTATCCAAAGTGACTTCTTAAATATCAAGATTTCATGAAATAAAACTTGACACGACGAAAGGTAACATCTGGGGATGGAAATTCCAATACAGTCAATGATTAAACCTTCGAGCCGCACCGCTCCACCCGTTTCGGTTTGTCAAAGCAGACACTGCAGCATAAAGTGTGATAGTAAAACAAGTAACCCTTTCCGGTTGCCAGTCCAGTTCAATACTGATTTGAAAGCTGCTGTCAGATGAAAAATGATTTCCAGCAGCAAAAACATCGCTTAGATAGAACACATATTGTGTCGATCTAAAAGTTCGGTTTTATAGAGAATGAAAAAAGTAAACCTTAAGTGTTCAATCACATCACCGTAGACAGGGCACCACTTACAATGGGTGAATCTATAGCAGTAGATGATATATTATCAGAAAGGCCCATCTTGAGCATTCCAAATAAATTGTGCTCGCATTAGTGCTCATTTCGTACATTAACCTTGTGGTTTTGTCTTTCTATCTACTTGTCCATTTTTTCTGTGTGCAATGCTCTATTTGTCCCACTTGGGCTACCGGGTTGCCTAACGTTAGTAGGTTTCAGTCTACTTACCTTCATCGGCACCCTCCTCACCATCCTGCACTAGTTACTGCGCATTTGCTTTCCTTTATTACCGATTCATTCATCCAGTCTTGTCTTGGTTTTTCACTATTCACCATGATATGCCACAATTAAATATCCCAGCTAGTTAGTTAACTATTCCTCTGATGAAACAACAAATGGGACCTAGGCTTTTGTCATTCCACTACATCTCATCTTCGCCCTTATCATCTCTCAAGTTTTAGCAGACTTGAACACGCGACATCCGCTAAGGAGAACAGTGGCACATTGGTAGAAGGAGAAACCAGATCCTGCGTTTCACTGCTTCATAGCAAATTAACTTGGTCTGAAAGTTAACCGTGTGTCAGAGCGGCCCCTGTCATCTAGGATGCCCGCCGGACTTCCAGGACTTTCGATCGCCATCTCCATGAAATTCTCTTTTATACTGCTCCATTCATCACCACACGGTTGTTAATCCTCAGGCTCGGTGATGGGTGGACACCCAGCTCCTTTTTCCACAGACTTGCTCTTCAACGCTTATACTATTAGTTGTACTTTGTTCTGGCGTAATAAAAGTTAACATCGTTCAGAATAACCATGGAGGTGATGGCTGGTGAAGCACACAAGCCTTAGTGAATGTCGTCATACTCCGGAGTGCGGCGGAGATAAAGCTCTTCGCTACAGTTCACGATTGCATATACAACAGAACCTCGAAATAGTAGGAGAAACCGAGATAAGAGTACCGGTTCGTATGCTGCAACGGCCAAATAAGTGAGGATAAATAACCATCCATGGCCATGTGCTCCGTAGTCGTCCAGATCAAGGTCTGTTCCCTACTTTGCCTTATTCTTATCTGCACATCCGCAACCATAAGCGTTTGCGCATTAGCTGTGGACTTGATTCACAGTACATACACGCAATGTAGCCATTGTGTTGGATATCGCAGCTGGTTTTCTACGATTTCTGACGGTTATGCTTGTATAAGTCAGTAAGATACAAGTCTTCTCAGGTACGCATCGTTGCAAGTTGTAATTAATGCTAATATTGCACTAGACACCATGTTTTAAACCTCGTATAACAATATATATACATTTTCCTATTACATCTGCGTTCTATGCTGAGATGTTGACAATTGCCAAATAATCCACATTTCGCTCTCACTGTAGTTAGCGCCAGAGTCTGTTGCTACTAGTTTATTCGTTTTTATTCTGGAGTCTTTTTCACACAGGGGAAAGTTGTTCGGCCTGATTTCGCATTTTTAGATGTCTCAACTCAACCATTAGGGAGGTTACAAAAGCATTTTCTGAATTGTATATATGTCTTGCAAATTGTCACGTATATTTTTCAAGTATTCTTTACGAGACATACTTAACTTGTTTGTACTGGTATACATTTTATAGCTATTTCTTGCCTACCTTGATACTACCGTTATTTCCTCTCTGAGTCCACTATGAACTGAAAGCTCTGAGTATATTTCAATCGAATGCTGCAGTTGGATTGCGCACCAAAG